TTATTTAAAAAAAAAAAAAAAAGGGGGAACAGTGAAAACCCTATTTGTGTGCTCTCTAATGTAGTAAAAGTAAAAGAAATGGTAGTTATTTTATTGGAAAATAATCTTGTAACTATGAGGTTTAAACAGTGACATTTTTACTATTGGACATGCAAAGAAAAATTCTTTAAAATAACCTGAGGATACCCATCTCTCCCTTTTGCTTTATTATATAGTGGTCATTTTGTTCTTGTTTTAAAGATGGCAGTGATTACGCATTTGGTATTTGTGGCTTAGAATTAATGGAAAGTAAATTAATTGCAATGGAAATATTCCATAAAACTTGCATATTAAAACTGACTAAATAAAATTAAAACAAGAAAAAATAAACCATGTATAAAATAATGGAAAAAAAAAATCATACAGACTGTTGAAACAACATTTGCAATATATTTAAAAATCATTATAATTTTAAAATAGATAAAGATCAATTTCCATTAGATTGAGAACAAAGTGTTTGTAAATAATGACAAGAGTATGTTTAAATGGAGCAATGTTTTACATATTGGAAATAATCCTAATAAATATTATAAAAATGTAAATTGGCAAATTACTGGAGTTATTAAATAAAAATTAAGTTCCTTTGCAGTAAATGGAAATGATGTAATAGATACCAGTTATTAAACAAATATCAGTTAGCTCATACTTATCAGGGACAGTTTCCTGCCTTTTATGTCACACTCTGTCTTTATTATATGCCTGGATCATATAACTGACTGATAAAAAACACTTTACTGTGTTTCTCCACTACATTAACTCAATTACTGTTCTTGTTCTCACAGCACCTGTTTGTTAGAGATGAGCTCAAGCAGCTCAGCAGAAGTCAGGTTCCTTCAAACATCTGTGTGTTTGGAGGCACACGAGTAGGTTGGTTTGGTACACATGCCAAGACAAGACCCAAAGTCTGATCCAGCCAGGAGGGGCTTCTGTGGCAATTGGCCCAAAAAAGCTAGAGAAGCCGTTTAATCCTCCACAAGAGGAGGAAGCTGTGTTCTGTTTTAGAAGAATTAGCTAGTCGCTTGGGTTGCTTCTTTTTTCTGTTGGATATTTCATGGTTGCAACCTTCTCCACACCGAGTCTCAGTTTCTGTGTAGTTTGCTATCATATAATAAGCTTCTGAAGGAGAAAAAAACCCACAAGGTTTTATTTAGCACGCTCAGTTGAGTGCCAACACAGAATTGTCGAGGATTTTTCTTCGTATCTAATTCAATGATATTCAGCCAGGAAGAGCTTTAAGGGGAAGATAGTAAGATACGATTTCTGATTGTTCCCATATGATAAGAAGAAAAGGGCATAATTACGTGAAATCAGTTCCTCCTCTTTCTTGCTCTAAAAACAGTTGAAGGATGAGACAGTTCCTTAGTATGATCCCGAGAGAAGAAAGGAAGGACTCTTAGGGCAGAATGCTTCAGAGCCTCGGGGCTTAGAGAGGACAGATGGAACTCTTGTAGCCCTCCTGGATGACTTCATTACGTTGGCCAGTGAATAGAGATGGCTGTATGGTCCTGCTTCTGCAGAGCTACCTACTTCAACTCACACAAACTCACTGTGTGAAGAGATGCAGAAACAAGGGCAAAGCATATATATGTACCAGTAGTGCATAGTAGACATGCGGGTGGACTGGCTGCTTTGTGATTCAGCTTCCTGGTTATAAAATAATCTGTAATACAGCTGAGAAGGTTATAACACAGAAGGCTTAGAGATGCTCAGGCTTTGTGAAAAAGAAAACCATCTAAGTATCTCAGACCCATAATGTGCCATATGCAGATGCTTCGAGAGTTTCCATTTTTCCCCTCTGGGGGCAGCAATTTAAGGTTCCTTCATTCAGGGAGCTGAGAATCTTCTTTATGTTCCTGAGCACTCTCAATTCCCACTGAAATCAAATAAATGGGTGTGGGTTTTACTTTATATGCCTAGGCCTTTGGACTGCACGGAAACAGTTAAGTGTAAAAAAAAAAAATTTATGTTCTACCTTTGACAAGCGACACGTTATGTAGGGACCAGTTTCAGATTAGTTCTAGCACCTCTTTGCACCTTGCGTTAGCATTCAGAAGCTACTGCAGATGTAGACCAGTTTGGGTTTGCGTGGTCATTAGGTGCTCAGGTATATTCCCAGTATGACTGTCACAGTTAAATCCCTTGAGTAATGAAAAAAGAATAATGTGCATGAGCCAAGTAGAGCCCTGAAGAAAGTTTGGGTTGTGCTAAACAGAAGAAACCTAAGAAAGAGAGGGATAGGAAGAAAAAACTTGGCAGGGCTGTGTCCATTGACTGAGAGTATGTTACGAAATGTATGACACGTCTTACATGTATGAGATGTATTATGTACATTTACAGTGTTACTGCATTTTCCCTTGGAAATGTGACTAGCCAATTTTAAAACTAGCTTAGATGAACTGATGAAATACAGTAAAAATGGTGCTGTTTTAAATGAATTCAATTCACATTTTCTTCCTAAAAAAAGACTGCCTGTTGCCAATCTCTGAAGGCGCATGTAGTGGGATGAGCAATATGAATAATTAAGGAAAATGGGTATGTGTGCTCCAAGAGGAGACAATTTTGGTATTGAACATCCTTTATTCTTACATTTCTAAGATGAACTAAAAGGACTTTTCATTTCTGTAGATTTCTCCAGATTTCCCATCCTTAACATTGTACAGCATGCCTTTTCTCCTGTCTTAATGACATCCCAAACTTTTGTTGAAAATAATTGATTGAATTTAAATTTCCTTAAAAGTTTAAGAGGTAATGTTACAGTATAAATTTCCTACCAAACACTAAGTAGGGAAATATCCATTAGTGAAATTAACTACAGTTTCTAGGTAGCTAACAATGTGCAGTATACAGTAGGGCATGGCTAATGAACACTGCAGTGGGTGATATTTCATTATACAAATTAATGCTCACATTTTAATGGGAAAGTCACATAATGAATCTCAGCTTCAGTGACAGCAATTAGAGACACAGATTGTCCCCTTCTGGACAAGGCACTGTTTAGCAATAAGCAGCTGTGTAAAAAGTCTTCAGGTTTACAACATATATATATGCTTTGGGGGAATTA